CGGTCCTCCAGACAACTCTTCCACTCACACACCACCCACCCACTGCCTTGGCAGAAGGAGCAGGAGGGAGTGCTGGGGTCTGAGTTCAAATCCCTCCAGCACACACTGGTCTGTGATCCTGGGTAATACACTCATCTTGTCTGACACCATTTTCCCATTAGCAGGATTGGGCTCATTGTAGCCCAGCAGATACTTACAAAGCGTGAATCAGCTAATCTACAGGACAGGATTTCATCCCATGTCTCTGCATATTGAGCACTGAATAAAAGTTCATTTGATGGCCCTCTCCTCTACCCTCTTCAGCCTCACCTAGTGTCATTTCAAGAATGTATCATGCAAAACAAAAGTGACACCATTTTATTTTATTATATATATAATTATTATCATTATTCCAATCCTGGGGCTTAAACTCAGGGCCTAGGTGCTGTCCCTGAGCCTCTTTGTGCTCAGGATAGTGCTCTACCACTTGAGCCACAATGCCATTTCTGGCTTTTTCTGAATAGGTTATTGGAGATAAGAGTCTCACAGACTTTCCTGCCTGAGCTGGCTTCGAACCACGATCCTCAGATCTCAGCCTCTGGAGTAGCTAGGATTGCAGGTATAAGCCACCAGCACCAGGCCACAGAAGGCATCTAATCCTAAGAATGAAATTGCTATGTACCAGGCTGGAAGGTGGTGGGAACCCAAACTTCTCCACTGAGGGCCCAGTCCTCTGGGAGAAGGTCACACATTATCCCTTTGATAATGTCAAAACCAACATATCTGGGGAATGGTCACAGGATAGCCTGAGAGAGTTGCTGGCAGGAGTAAATTACCACACAGCCATCACAGTGGAAACTGAATCTGCCAGGGAAAACAATGTTTCAGTGTCTAACAAGATGTGGCAAAGGTTTCAGAAATATCCAAGTGACCTGTTTTCAATTGCAAGGAGCTTCCCAAATTTACAGCTGGGCTTGCTAAAATGAAAAGAAGCAAGCCCACTTTCCTTTGCAGAACTCTGGTCTGGTCTCGCTGACCTTGTGTGTCTGATTTGCAAAGCTATTCTGCACCAAAATAAAACTATTTTTTTTAATTTTTTTTTTGGTCCAGTTATGGGGCCTGAACTCTGGGCCTGGGCGCTGTCCCTCAGCTCTTCAGCTCAAGGCTAGTGCCCTACCACTTGAGCCATAGCGCCACTTCCGGCTTTTTTCTTTTTGCTTATGTGGTGCTGAGGAATCGAACCCAGGGCCTCAGGCATGCAAGGCAAGCGCTCTACCACTGAGCCACCTTCCCAGCCCCTAAAACTATTTTTTTTTGAAGAGTCTAACATGTGCAAGTCCCTGGATTTAGTGCCCTGTTACTGAGAAATAAATAAGTCTAAGACAGTCTTTACTTTTAGTTTAAACTCATTTATAGCTTCTTGTTACATACACCCCAGCCACTCAGTCAGCCTGGTACCTCCTCTTCCCAGCAAAAGACCCCACTTGGGCCACTGGGGGCCAGGCATGCCCCCTCCCCACCCCACTCCCCATCCCCGAACTGGAGAAATGGCAGGCTCTGCTGCTTTGTAGTGTGGACTGAATTTTCTTTTTCTGATATTATTCCACAGATAAAAACCACAAACTTTCTAGGCAGGAGGAGGATTGGTGATAATCAGCCCATGTTTCATAGGAGAAAAAAAAAAGCTTATTAGGGGGCAGAGGCTGGCCCTGAGCTACCTTCCCAACACTTCAGACATTCACTAAGGGATCAAAAGTTCAGAAACTCAGGAAAAGCAGGTGGCAACCCTCTCTTAGTTAGCTGGGGACACATACCTTTAGGAGCAACCTATGTACCTAAGCTGGTGGGGGCAGGTGAAATCAAGTCACTTTCACCCAGACTTTGCCACTGACCTAGAATAAACCTAGCTTGTAATAATCATAAACAATCTGCCCAGGAGGCCAAAGTAGGACTTCAAGTGGAGCATGCTCAGAAATAGGTCCATTTCTGCAGATGATCAGACTTCCCTAATGCAAATGATTTCCTTTCGGGAAAAGCTCCTTGCTTTCTGTGTCCCAAAAGAACACTGTGTGGAGAGCCATCACTCCCTTACTTGCTGCAAACATCTAAAGGTTTTTGGACCCATTCTGGAGCTGAACTCAGGTCCTGGACTCTGTCCCTTATCTTTGTCCACTCAGGGCTTGAGCCACAGCTCCACTTCCAACTTGTTTTGCTGCTTAATTGGAAATAAAAAGTCTCAAGGTCTTTCCTGCCCCGGGGTAGCTTCCAACCAGGCTCCTCGGACCTGAGTTCTGAGTAGGATTGCGGGCCTGAGCCTCTGTGCCTAGCTTAATAAAGCTTTACTTTCCCCCGCTCTTCCCCACCCTCTCCTCTCTCATTTTCTGCACTTCCTGGGCCAAACCCCCCCTCTCCTTCACCTCTCCCCCCCAACTCCCTACCCCCTGCCCTGTCCCGCTGGGGGAGGGCTCAGCTCTCCTGGGCTGGGCATAGGGAAGGGTGTCTGGGGCGGGGCTTGAGGGTGTGGGAGGAGCGTCTAGGGGAGGGGCCGGAAGATGAGGGGGGGTGGAGCACGGGGGTGGGGCTGGAGCCCGGTGGGCGTGGCGCGAGGGGGCGTGGCGGGGGCGTGGCGCGAGGGCAGAGAGGGGCGTGGCACCGGGGGAGAGGGGCGGGTAGCTCCGGAGCGGGGTGGGGGAGGGGGCAGAGCGTGGGGGACACAGGGGGGGGGGTTCACCCGCCCCCCTTCATCAGAGGTGGTGAGGGAGCCGGGCTGGTCACTAACAGCGCTTCCAGGAGAATCAGCACGCCTCGGTTGCTTCCTAGTCATATTTCTTTTCTAGCTTACTTCAGCTTTTTCTCTTTTTTACTCTTTACATGGCAAATAGGATTTCTATTACCAAAACGAAGCACAGAACAAGCCACCGCCATCCCAGGCCGCAGAGGCATCGGCTTGCTGGTTTGCTGGCTGTGTGGAAACTGGTGGCTCAGGCCTGTGATCCCCGCTCCTTGGTAGGCTGAGATCTGTAGATCAAGGTTCAAAGCCAGCCAGAACGGTGACGTCCCTTTTCTCCATTTAACCACAAAAAGGCCAGAAGAAGAACTAAGGAGAGCTGCGGCTCAAGTAGCTCAGGGACAGCTCCCTGGGGCGAAGGGTTAGGAGATCGTCATTCACAGGAGACGTCAAGGCTGGGCCTTCTTGTTAAAGCCACTGAGTAGGATGGTTGCTGGGGCAGACCAGTGAGCCGCGGGGAATGAGAGCAGACCCTCGGGGCAGTTCTCTTGAATCTTGAATCCAAGTCGGCAAGATTATGCCCAACCTCGGCCTCCTCGGGGTGAGTTTGGCCTTCATGAGTCTCTGAGGCTAGTGTTATCCTGAGTGTCTGGGATCAGAGAGAGGACGGTCCTGGGGGTGATTGGGCCTTTTCCCCAGCTGGACCCGTGAATTACACGATCTGTCTTTTTAAGTGTTGTTCCTCAACATGCATGTGTAGATCCGGGGAGATTACCTTTTCCACTCCCTCGCAGCACCATCAATCGCCCCTCCCTCCTCCTCTCTCTCCCCAGGCAGTGAAACCAGAGCCGCTGTGTTGGGAGGTGGGGAAACCGCTGGCAATGCACGCACTGCTGTGATGCACCCCAGAGGAAATGTAAAAGAAGATGGTTGGCTTTCCCGAGCGTGGTATTTGTGAGCACGCCCTCCATGGCAGTTCTCAGCCCCTCCCCCAAGACCAGTTGATCTGGCCAGGCCTCTGCAACTGGCCTTGGGCCCTGGTGGAAGGAGGGTGAGCCGGTGACTGACCTTCTCGTGTAAAATGAGGAAAAGCCAAAAGCAGACTCCTCATACACACCAAAGACAAAGAAGGATGGAGATTCTCATTTCAGAGCAATAAAGAAACCACAATTTTTTTTAAGTGGGTTAGATCATTCACAGGTTGCGTATTTCTTTGTTTATGGATATTGAACTAGTTCATGTCTGTTATAAATATATAGATATATGTACTTTTAAAACGTGTTCATGCTTTCTCCCATTCCTACATCTCAAGATTCTCTTAAGTTCCACCCCCCCGCCATTTCACTTCGAATTGCATTTGGAGGTACCTTTGCTACACAGAAACAAAATTCCTTAGGACTTAATAAAGTCATCATCAAATATAAAAACATGGTCTATAAAATAATTTCACAGTCATCATAACCCTGGAGTGGAAGGATCAGCCCAGTAGGCATTTGTGAGACTGTTAACCCTTCAGAATATTTTCTCCCTTTTCTTCTAAAACAAAGAATGATAGGTAATAAAGTTACAATTTTTTCAGCTTTTTAGTTAACCCTTGACACATTTGCTACTCATCTATATTAAAGGTAGGGACCAAAAAGAAATCACTGTGACAACATTCAAAATACCCATACAAATTTGTTTATTTAAAAAGCCTTCACTACTTAAAATTAATACACCCTCATATTCCCAAATCATTTTGATAATGTGTCTTGCATTAACCTGGGGCATCCAGAGCCCTGGAAAGTCAAAATCAGAGGTTGGTTTTCAGGGAAAGAGGGGCTAACGCTGGATGGGAGGGATTTGCTGAAGTATTGCTGATGTTCTTGTTAAAAGTCATCATCAGAATTTTCCTGATTGCTGAAAGCTGAATGAACAATAAAAATTTTCTTGTTAGTTGGTCATTTAGTCCATGGTTCATAATTGAAACACCACAGTTACTTATTGATGTTAAAAGCAATCAAGGAACCAGGTGCTGATGGATCACACTTATAATCCGAGCTACTCTAGAAGGTGAGATCTGAGGATCCCAGTTCAAAGCCAGCCTGGACTCCTCTCTCCAGTTGACCACCAAAAAGTTGGAAGTAGAGCTGTGACTCAAGTGGTAGAGCATTAGCTTTGAGCACAAAAGCTCAAGAACAGCATTCAGGTTCTAATTTCAAGATTACCCCCCCCACACACACACACACAAACTCTCTTTCTCTCTCTCTCTCTCTCATTATATTCAAATAGGAAAGAGAGCTGGAGAAGACTAAGTAAAAGCATACAGATTACTGAAAGGGAATGGAACACAAGGACATTTTTCCACTTCACCAACTGTTCATTTGCCAAAGAATCAAAGTAGCATAATGTAAAAACCATCTTCACACAAGCAAACGAGGAGACAGCTGGGCGACACGGAGATCTAGGCACAAAGTCGAGCTTTTACCAGGCACCCCGCTGGATCCTCACTCCACCAGCCGATACACAGGGTCGCCAACTTGCAGGTTTCCAACTTTTGTCACAGAATAATAGACCCCAAAAAGTGGGGAGGACTTGTACAGGTGCCTCTCAGAAGGATCGCACAGACGGTAGCTGAAAGCAGCAACGAATTCGTCATCAGACACCCAAGGAAATAACAATGGAAGGCCACAGAACTCAGTTTCCTTCCCAGCTTGGTTATAAAACCAACAGCAAACCTTTTCTTAAAAGGTTATCAGGGAACTATGTAAACAATCAAATTGCAAACAATTCTGGGTTTTCTAGAAGGAACCCAAATATCTAAACAATCCCCCCTACAAGGCTTCAGTTTGAAGTCAAAACAAAAAGCCTTATTATATGTGTGATTATAATACAAATTCTTTGTTCACACAGACACAAACTTCAATGAGACAAGTATTTATGAAAACTCAGAATAAGGGTTGGGCACGCCAGTGGCTCACACCTACAATCCTAGCTATTCAGGAGGCTGAGACCTGAAAGACCATGATTTAAAACTGGCCCATTCAGAAAAGTTCATAAAACTCTTATCTCCAATTAACCAGTAAAATGCCAAACTGGAAATGTGGCTCAAGTAGTAGAACATTAGCTGTGCGCAAGAAAGCTGAGTGGATTCTGAGGCCCTGAGTTCAAGTCTTGGTATGGGGGGAGGGGGGGGACAGATACTACATTAAGAGCTAAAGTCAAAATTCTTTAAATAACAAAAGAAAAAATCTATAGCACAATAAAAATTCTCTGGAATACAAACTCTCACAACCCATTATGTTCCATTATTTCTCATATCTCATTATGCATAATTTCAATTATGCTAATTCTAATAAAAGAATTTGAGCCAGGTGCTGCTGGCTCACACCTGTAATCCTAGCTACTCAGGAGGATGAGATCTGAGGATCGCAGTTCTAAGCCAGCCTGGGCAAGAAAGGCCGTGAGACTCTTATCTCCAAATAATCACCAGAAAACTGGAAGTGGTGCTCAATGGGGTAGAGCACTAGCCTTAAGTGGAAAAGCTCAGGCCCTAAATTCAAGCCCCACAACTAACAACAACAACCAAACCCTTGAATACATATTAGGCTTTCATTTGGAAGTATACACACAAACATATTAAAATTGAGATGAGGAGCTGGGAAGGTGGCTTAGTGGTAGAGTGCCTGCCTAGCATGCATGAAGCCCTGGGTTCCATCCCTCAGAAAAAGCTGGAAATAGCACTGTGGCTCAAGCGGTAGAGTGCTAGCCTTGAGCAAAAGAAACTCAGACAGTGCCTGTCTCTGAGATGAGAATATTAACATTTCAAAATGGAACTGTAGACAATTAAAAGCCAGGTTGGGAGTGTTGGCACATGCTTGTAATCCCACTTAAATAAGAGGTAGAGCACTGTGCTGGTGGCTCAAACCTATAATCCTAGCTACTCAGGAGGCTGAGATCTGCAGGTCACAGTTCGAAGCCAGCCTGGGGAGGAAAATCCTTGAGACTCTTATTTTCAATAAACTACTCAGAAAAAGCCGTTAAGTGGCACTTTGGCTCAAATGGTAGAGCACTAGCCTTGAGCACAGAGAGACTCAAGAACAGAACCCAGGCCTTGAGGTCAAGGCCCTCCCCCCCAAAAAAAGGAGATGGATAGGAGGATCATGATTTGAGGCCAGCCCAAACAAAAAGTTAGTTATGATCCTATCTCAAGAAGAATCCTACATGCCTGCAATCCGACTACTTGGGAATCAGAGGTAAGGGGACTGCAGTCTAAAACTCACTCAGGTCAAAGCTCCCCAACACAACAACAACAAAATTATCAAAAGCTCCTCCTATGGGGGGAGCAGGAAGAGAGCTACAAGTATTCCCACAAAGTCACACTCTAAAGGTGGAGTGTTTAAGGAGGTTCCACGAAGCCTAGGCAGACAGCCCCCTAGCCCACAGGTCACCAGGGGATGCAGGGGTGGGGATACTTTACCTTTTCAGGGTTTCCAGGGGCTCCTTCCTGTCTATGATTCCAGTGTCGGGGTCCACTGTGGTCATGATGCACCTGTCACACAACAAGCGAGGGTGAGGAGGGCTGGCATCATGCCCATGGGCACCCCACACAGCCAGGCTGGCTCTCACTGCTGCCCTTACCGAGAGCAACACTGAACCTTCTTCAGCTCCACGTCACCAATCACCAGCTCATCCCAGGTATCCTGGAAGGAGAAAGGGGAATGTCATCTTTGGGAATCGGGTTTTGGTTGGTTCATCCATTGGCCGACATCACGGAGCAACCCAGCGGAAGAGGAGACCCCAAAAACCATCTCCAACAAGGACCGAAGGCAGGCAGCGTGTGGCCCAGTCCAGGGTCTGTCCATTCCCCATTCCCCCACCCCTCTTTTTCTGGGGGTGGCAGTCAGGGCTTTGTGTGCGCTAGGCAAGCTCTCCATGGCTGAACTCCAGCCCCGGACATCTACCTCTCCACTTGGCATCTCGAAACCCTGATTCTGTCAGCACAGTAATCACACTGCTGCCACGTGGTACAGTGTGCAATGAGCTTCACAATGAACTAGAAGACTCATTAGTCGACAGTGAGAGGCCACTCTCCTTACGCGGACTCACACACATGAATGTTCAAGCTGGGAACTGGTGGCTCACACCTGTAATCCTAGCTACTCAGAAGGCTGAGATCTGATGATTGTGGTTCAAAAACTGCACAACACATACACATATATACAAACATGGGTACACACAAATATATATATATATATATATATATATATATAAACATATACCTACAATAGGTGAAAGGTATTGGTTATATTACCTATACACACGTGATATGATCTACTCTGACAGATACACACTAATGTAGATGTGGTTGCCTCGCTGCATCCAAGGGGGATTGCTGCCAGGGCCTCATTTCAGATATCAAACTCTGCAGGGCCTAGAAGGGAGATTTAACACCACACAAAAAGCACCACAGTACTAACTGGGTCTTCAAAACTCAAAAAAACCTCCTCCCACCTGGTAGGACTATAGCTACAGAGTGACACACAGAGGTCTCTGTGGATGCTCTGCATTCCCAACAGGAAAGTGTTTTGGGGTGAAACAAACTTCATATTCTACAGCCAGTTGGCTGGAGAACTGTCTGCTTCGTAGAAGTCCAGGGCCTAGCCTGTGACAAATGGAGCTTCCATATCCCCACCAAGACCTGTAAAAATCATTGCTCAAACTATGAGATGACCACAGCCTGTCGCAGACTTCCCAGTGACTGTGACCTCCTAGAAGGGAAGTGAAGAGTGGTCAGACGCCTTGGATCAAGGCAGCCAGAAAACAGAAATAAAGTAAGATTAAAATAAATAAATAAAAATCACTGGCGGTCTCTGACCACACGAGGGCGCTGTGGCCACAGGAACAATGTACTGTAGAGGCTTTCAAAGCACTTTCTTTTTGTTTTTTGTTTTTTTGTCGGTCATGGGGCTTGAACTCTGGGCCTGGGCGCTGTCCTTCAGCTCTTCAGCTCAAGGCGAGCGCTCTACCACTTGAGCTACAGCACCACTTCCAGTTTTCTGGTGGTTTATTGGAGATAGGAGTCTCACGGTCTCTCCTGCCCGGGCTGGCTTTGAACCATGATCCTCAGATCTCAGCCTCCTGAGTAGCTAGGATTTCAGGCGTGAGCCACCAGTGTCAAAGCACTTTCTACTCTTCTCCAAGAAGCTTCTGCAGAGAGACTACGATCGAAAGCCAGAAAATACAAACAGTTCAGTTAGATGTCTTAGTTTAACAAAACAGATTCAGGTCTTCTGCTATCAAACTATTCTTCAACTGCAGGAATCTTGTTTAGATTAGCAATTTGTCTGGCTTTCTAAGAATCATCTCCAGCATCTCCAAATGCCCACTGCTCTAATTAACAATCGTTATTCACAATTAGATCACGCCTAATCTGATCACTGTATGTTGTCATAAAGAGTTATTTGCGGTAAAATTAAATAACAAGCTGATTCTGTTTAAGTGCAAATATTAATTCCATTTTAAAGGAAAATAACAAATTGTAAATGATTGAAAATGAAATTAAGTTAATAATAGTTCAACTTCCCATTATCATCTAATAAATACAACTTAATAAAATGAATTCTCTAGGAAGATTCTAGGGTTTTCCATAAACATGAAACCCACTAGAGGGGCTTACTTCACTAGCTGGTTAATGGCCTATTTGCTGGATGACAAAATCAGACCCCTTAGAACAATTTGCTTCCAGTGAAGACGTTTACCATAGAGTTTCTGTTTTTGTTTTTGTCAGTCATGAGGCTAGAACTCAGAGCCTAGGCGCTATCCCTGGGCTCTTTTTGCTCAAGACTGGCACTCTATCACTTTGAGCCACAGCTCCACTTCTAGTTTTCTGGTGTTTAATTGGAGATAAGAGTTTCATGGACTTTCCTGCCCAGGGTGGCTTCAAACCACAACTGTCAGATCTCAGCCTCCAGAGTAGATGATAGGATTACAGACATGAGCCACCAGCACCCAGCACTTTGGAGTTTTTGATTTGGAAGTAAGAGAAAAGGTCAAAGAGAAGGCTGAGGCTGAGTACAATGGGCTCTACTCTGGAATGAATCCTAAGTATTTTCTGTGAGTTTGTAGACATCTTATAAATGCTAAGAGGACATGAGGTTTTCCAGCACAACCAGTATCGCAATCAGAAAAAGGAGCTGAGGGAAGGCAGGTAGGGTGCTGGTGTTGAGCAGCATAGGACACACAGATAATGGGCTACAAGACTTTTCACCAGAATCCATACAAGGGCTTAGCAAGCCATTACATGTATGAAACTTAACCTATACCTAGTATAGATTATCCTGCTTGCTTGCTTGCTTGCCTTTCTTTCTTGCTTGCCTTTTTCTTTTTCTTTCTTTTTCTTTTCTTTCTCCCTTCCTTCCTTTCCTTTCACCCTCCCTCTTTTTTTTCCTTCCCTCCCTCCCTCCCTTCCTTCCTTCTTCCTTTTTCTTTCACCACTACTGGAGCTTGAACTCAGGCACTCAAGCTCTTACCTGGCTTTTTACTCTACCACTTGAACCACACCTCCACTTCCAGCTTTCTACTGATTAATTGGAAGTAAGAACAGCTCATGAATTTGTCTGCCCAGGCTGGCTTTGAGCCATGATTCTCAGATCTCAGCCTTTTTAAGTAGCCAACAGCACCCCGCTTATGATGTGAGTTTTGTTTTGTTTTATTTTTGCCACATGCTCAGGTTTGCTATTCTTTATTGTTAGCTGGTCTACTAAATATTTATGTGCATTATCATTTTGTGTAGAACCATACTCATTGAAAAGGTTCGAGTTTTGTTGTTTGTTTGTTTTTGATGGTGCGAGGTAGACAGGTTAATGCATTAGCCCCAAACTTCTGGGTGCCCTAATTTAAGGCAGAATAAATCAGCAATGTTAGCATCATTTCCTAGTAAAAGTTGTTTTGTTAAAAATATGCATGGCCAGAGGACTTTCTAGAAAAAAAATAATAAGTACTAGGTCCAGGGAAGCAAAGAATTGAGCGATGTTTAAAAGCATTTCTTCTGAGCTAACTACTTAACTCGATATTGCATCATTACCCTAACACCACAGAGGCTGGGGTGACAAGTCCTGTGTTCTAAAAATACCATCATGCACCCACTGGACAAAGCTAGCTGACATTGCTTAGCCTCTACCTCCTTATAAAAAGAAGATAATAATCCATATCATAGAGGGTCATCGGAAAATCCAAGAGCAGAGCCTGGCACCCAATCCGTGGTACCTGTTGCTACTTCTGGGATCAGCAAGTTTCCCCCCCATTTCTTCATGCTCAGTATGATGGCCGATACTTCTGATAATCAAGACACACTCAGCCATGTGGGCATCATAGGCAGATGACAAGGTTACTGGCTTCTGAGGTAGTTGGCCCTTTAAGGCCACAGGAGATGAGATGGGTGGGATTTTCTACTGTCAGTCACATAGGACATCGTGGAGAAAACTCAGGCCATGGCAAAAAAAAAAAAAATGTCAGTAAGGGCTCAGTTCACAAGTGACTTTCTGTATCATGGTGGATTCCACCTTAGGGCCTGGGTTCCAGTGTTTGACAGCACTCCTTGGTGGTACAAGAAAGAGGAAAATGGGAAAATGGCTGTCTCTTTTCTTCATTTTCCCTGTTGTTATTCCTGAACTAGGATGACACATACATGCTAAGGCTCAGACTGGCTATGGTTCAGGGCCAGAACATCAAAGAGTAGCGCCCCCCTGTGGCCAGTGAGGTGATGGCGGCAGAAACGCGTGAACAACTCCAAGTGGCCAGCACTAGAGAAGCTGCCGCCCTACCCAGCTCCCTTGGCTGCCCCTGAGAGGGGGTCTGACCAGAACGCCCAGCTTGGCAGGCCCCCTTACCTCCTCAAAAGCACCGCAGCCTGTCACCACGATATTTGGCCTGAAGTTCTCCATGGTGACTTTTTTCTTGAGCCTGGTGTTCAGATCTGCCAGGGAGGCATCAGAGAGTATGTGCACGGGGCTGGCGTCTGGATAGGCCACCTGCACAGAGAACATAGCACAGCCAGGCTGCAGAACCCTTCGAGACCTCTGAGCCTGGCTGCAAAGCTGGGTGAGGTACGGAAGCAACACCACCTAAGTGGTGTTCAGGACACAGAGGTGTCTGGGCTTGGAAACTGGCTGAGCCCGTGCTAGAACACAGCCTCTGTCCACACACACAGCAGCAGAACCGCAGCTGGGGCACCCTCTTACCAAATGCTATTTGCCATTCACCTCACAAAGAAGACTCTGCTGCCAACCACCTACACTCTAGTAAGAATTTGGTCCCCTCCGTTCACTCATCAAGTATTTACTGATCATATACAGGCACCAGATACTGTTCCATATAAGAAACAGAAAATTAAAAAGCATTGCCTTCCAGCCGGGCGCTGGTGGCTCATGCTTGTAATCCTAGCTACTCAGGAGGCTGAGATCTGAGGATCCCGTTCAAAGCCAGCCTGGGGCAGGAAAGTCTGTGAGACTCTTATCTCCAATAAACCACTAGAAAACCAGAAGTGGCGCTGTGGCTCAAGCGGCAGAGCGCTCGCCTTGAGCTGAAGAGCTGAGGGACAGCGCTCAGGCCCAGAGTTCAAGCCCCATGACCGACCAAAAAAAAAAAGAAAAAAGCATTGACTTCAAGGTGCTTCTAGTTCAAGGGCTACAGAGGGGGGAAAATTCCTGGAATCCTTGCATTTTGAACTTTAGTCCGTAGAAGAAACAAAGACCTCTGTCTTTGGGTCGCAGGGACAGTTTTGTTGGGAAGAAATCCTTCCCAGTGCCTGAAATAAAGACATCACCCCAAACTGAGAAGGAGGCAAGGAGGGAGGGGAGATGGGAGAGAGCCAACCCTTCTGCCATTTCAGGAAATCAGATTTCGTCCCAAACAGACTTGTCATGTTTGCTTCTCCAACTACTGTCCTCCCAAGTTGCACATCATCCCTGGCCCTTCCTCCCATGGCACCAACTAAACCCGGTCCTTGAGAATCCTGAGAGATGCCAGTGTCGGGACTACCCTCCTCTCCAGCCTCGGTGTCTCTGCCCAGGTTACGCCCTTGGAACCACCCACCCAAGCCAGGACCACGTTTTACTAACTGGGGCTCCTGGGAATCTCCCATGGGCCCAAAAGGAACTCAGAAGGTTTAGAGTGATTTGGTTACAGATACAGACCCTCTGTGAGCTCACCTGGTAATTCTCATTAGTAGGTAAAATCTTCTTTGATACTCGTCCCTTCATGTTGGTTTCAAACTGAACTAACCTGAATGCTTCTGTTTTCAAGAACTTGGTGAACCACTGGGCTATCTCATCCCCACAGTCTCGGCCTTGAATGTCAATGCCAAAGATCCTGCAGGAGTGAAAGACAGCACCGGGTTACTTCTAGGGTCACACTGAATGATGTGTCAACAACATCCCAGGGGGCTAATACATGGTCCTTGGGCCAAAGCTGGGCAGGAGTGGATGAAGCAGGGGTAAAACTTACACAGAGATAGAGGGGGGCAGCAGGCAGGGCAAGAGCTCCCCAAACCCTAATGTGCCTGTGAGTCAGCTGACAGAACATGGTCAAATGCAGAGCGTGCATCAGTGGGTCTGAGTTACAACCAGGGGGACAGGGGATGGGCATTCGTTGCTTTTATTTTTAATTTGTATTGTTATCACAATGGTGATGTATACAATGGTGATGTACAGAGGGGTTACGGTTTCGTAAATCAGGTCATCGGTACATCTATTTCAGACATGGTCACCCAGGTGGGCGCATTCTTAACGAGCTTCTAGATGCTAGGGCATGGGTGGTGAGGACTGAGTTACTCTTGGAGGGAGAGACACAAGTCAGATTCACGCTGCGCTTGAAAAACAAAGGCCTGGTCTCAAATCATTCATCAACTATGACACTCCATTTTGGGGTATAAATTGGACCATTTTGGGGTGTAAATTGGAGATAATCATAGAATATCTACCCACTGCAAATGGGGAGATGGGTCACATTAGCTAACATAGTGGTCTTTAAGTCTGTTTTGGGTTTGTTTTTTTTTTCCACTTTATTTCTCTAGGAGGTTTTAAAAGCCATGGAATTGTCACAGGACTATAAATTGGTAGGTACACTGGACTGATGAATCCATCCAGGGTCAGTTATCTCATTAATCATGTCCACATAAGCAAGGGTTCATAGAATCCCAAAGGTCTGGGTTCTAGGTTGCTGGGAATATATAAGTGAGTAGAGACATCCAACCAGTAGAGGCCATGGGAGAAGCTCCACCCCCTGCCCAGTCTTGGCACCCTGCCCCAACTCCAGCTGATTCTTCACCCTTAACCTCTGAGACAATCTTTCTTTCTGTGTTGGGCTCTGGGGCTCAAACTCAGGGCCTCATGCTCTCCCCTTTGGCTTTGTCTACTCAAGGCTGGTGTTCTATAGATTGGGCCATACCTCCTCCCCTGGCCTTTTGCTAGTTCACTGGAGCTAAGTGTCTCACAAGCTTTTCTGCCTAAGCTGGCTTTGAGCCACGATCCTCAGATCTCGGCCTCCTTAGGATTATGGACGTGGGCTGCCAGGGCCCAGCTTGGAATGTTCTTTATAATATTATAAACTGGTACCTGTGTTTTCCTGAGTTCTGTAGGCTATTCGGACAGATGAACTGAATTCAAGGAGAAGCTTGTGGAAACCTCAACTTCAAAACTAGCCAGTCAGAAGCACAGGCCACCTGCTAGGGCGTGCTGGTCACAGGGTGGTTCTCTGTGCCCTGGCTGCTGTTACTGGGGGAAGCTGCTCATGGAATGATTTCTTTCTAAAGACAGTCATTTCTCTAGCCATGAATCTTAGCATACCTGACTAAAACTAGTCCTGCACTGGGTGCTGGTGGCTCACGCCTATAATCCTAGCTACTCAGGAGACTGAGATCTGAGGATCACAGTTTAAAGCCAGCCTGGGCAGGAAAGTCTGTGAGATTCTTATCTCCAATTAACCACCAGAAACCCAGAAGTGGTGCTGTGGCTTAAAGTGGTAGAAAGTGCAGAAAAGTTTAGGGACAGCACCAAGTCCCTGAGTTCAAGCCCCAAGACTAGCAAAAACAAAAAAACTAGTCCAAGGTGCACTCAAAGCAACATTTTACCAAACCTGAGCCCTGCCCAATCCCAAGCCAGACTATATAGTCCCTTAATAGTTCCTTGACCAATTTCACCCTTCGTACAAACAGTAGCCTATGTAGGGAGGAGCCCAGGGAAAACCATCTCTGTTACAGCTCTCCACTGTCCCCCAACAGAACAGCACCTGCAGTCATGGATCTTGTTCGAGGAAGGCAGCTTGGTAGGTAAAACCACCTGGTCCATGTCTGGAGCCTTGAAGATCAGGCAGTCATTCTCAAAGGTGATGGAGACCAGCACCAGCTGAGGCTCCTGCCGGGCTGTGACCATGTGTCCATCTTCCTTAATCACCAACCAAAACCTGCAGGGAAGCCAACAAGCGCACACTCAGAAAATCGCTCTCCTGCCTCGCCAGATCTTCCTCTATTCATTCTTTTTCTTTCTTTCTTAATTTCCTTCTTTCTTCTTTCTGTGGTACTACAGTTTAAACTCAGGGTGTTATGCTTGCTAGGTTGGCAAGCTTACCTTTTGAGCCAATATCTCTGGCTCTTTTTTCCTGGGGTTTTGTTTGGTTGGGTTTGTTGTTTTTTGGATAAGGTGTTGCTTTTTCCCTGGAGCAGCCCGGACTACCATCCTCATTTTTATGCATCTTTACGGTCGCTGTGAATAACAGGCATGGATTACTATGCCCAACTATTGGTTGTGATTGAATCTCATGAGCTTTCTTGCCCCAGCTAGCCTCAAACACTCATCCTCGCAGTCAGCCTCCCCTCCTGAGTAGCCATGAGGACCTGGCGGCAGCGGCCAGCTTCTTTTAATACCTAAATGTCTTTCCTCTGTGTTTCTTATTTTTTTTCCTGTTGAAGCACTTCTATGAAGTTACTCTTTCCCGCTTTCTCTTTCTGTTCCCACTCCTCCTTCTTTCTGTTCTTCCTTCCTTCCCTATCTTTATTTTCCTTTACTTTGCTACTGTCTTCCCAAAAGCCGGCGGTGCTGGGTGGTGGCAAGCCTCCCCTCGAAAGAATCTACCTTTTTCTTTCTAGGTGTTTCTTTGGTTTCTAGGTTTCTCTGATCCGCTCACCTGTAACGGAGGGAAATTCTCACTGTTTCATTCAAGTCCTGGCCCCTGGGCTGAGGCTATGGCTCACTTCTGGCTTTATCTTTGGGCTCTGTGCATGGGGAATATCTCCTTGAGTATTCACACTTAATCCTCAAATGGATGGAATGGCATTTGGAGGTGAGACCTGTGAGCACGGACTGTCCTCATGGATGAATGACTCCAGCCGTGGCTTCATTGAAAAGCCAGGTCTCTCTGGCCCACGCAGGGCTGCCCTAGGCCTAGCTATGATACAACCACCAGCCCCGCCAGAGCCAAGCGCTGGGACTTTCCATCATTTACAACCTTGTGCTAAGTAAACACCCTCCGTTTAATTATTAATTGCCCAATCACAGAGATTCTTGCTACCACAGAGCAAAATGACTTTGGGTCATCTCACCAAAGGCCACACCTTTCCTTTCTGACAGATTCTTCCCTTCCCAGACAAGACTCCCTCGGGTGTGAGCTATGTACAACCACAAAGGTGTCACACAGAGGTATTACTCTGCACCGATGGGTGACTGCTGCGTGTTCCCAACTCTCTCTAGTCCAGCAGTCATCGCTGGCAGCCCTGCTCCAGATCCAGCCTTCTACAACCACTTGGGGCTTCGCTGCTGCGGTTGACAAAGGCTAGAATTGCAATGAGCTCCGACTTGGGACAGAGCAAAACCCACACACTGTAAGAGATTAATGGCTGTCATCTGTTATGCCAGCCACCTGGTTACCTTGTCAACTTTGTAATGATACTTTGCATCCCCTGCGCCCACGTAACATCGTCTAATAGGAATAATTAGTTCTTCTGTCAGATATGAAAGACAGGATGAGTTTCTCAAAGGGCTTCGAGCCCTGTCAGCAAGAGTCAAGCGAGCGCTGTGATTGTACAGGTAAAACATGAGCCTGTGGGAAAGGGATTGGGACGGGGCTCAGATCCTCCAAAAGTGCCACTGTGCCAAGAGAGGGACCACCATGCGGAGGCCAAGGCAGAGGCCATGAGGGAAGCTCATTTGCTTGTTACAAAGTGACCTGAGCAGGAAGGCCTGAGCCTGATCGTGGAGGAGAGGCGGGAACCCCACTACAGAGGGTGGAAAGGAAAAGGCAAGCGGAACAGGGCGAGAAATGACACACTGAGTTTCTCACCTAGGATCACAAACCCAAGATGTGCGGGCAGGATTTGAATTCAGAGCTGAGTGAACACCGTAGTGTGTGTGCTGTGCGGGTGTAAGAACTGGATGGAGGATCAGAAGATCTCGGGCCAGGCCCTGTAACCTCCCAAAGCCTCCTCCATAATAAACATGGGGACGCTTTTTCACTAAGGCATTGTTGTCTACACAGAGGAAACCTAGGCTGGCTTCAGAAAGGGTACAGACAGAGAAAATGGCTGCATGTGGTTTACAAGGACAGGGAAGACCTGCCCAGCTCCTGTCCATGCCAACTTTCGGCTGAATGGCAAAGTTCAGAGTCCCAAGGGCAAATATGCTGAGCTTTGAACGGAAGTGTCACAAGCAACAGAGAGCAAAGAGCACTTAGAGAAGAAAATCTCAGCTTCTTCACACAGTTCCAAAGGCACAGGTGCAGAAGGTAGTTATTCCAGAGACCTTTCCCTGCCTTCTGGGGATGCCTGTGGTCATCTTATTGAAAACTCAGTGAGCTCAGTTCTTCCTGGCCAGCTCACTTCTAAATATGTTATCCTTGACTAAATAAAGTCTAGGGGAGACTAGGCTTTAGAGGCCAGTAAGTTCCACTTTCTGACAAAGCCAAGGCTCTGTGAGGTTAGATGACCTTGCCCAAAGGCTCCCGGTCCTCCAGACAACTCTTCTACTCACACACCACCCACTGCCTTGGCAGAAGGAGCAGGAGGGAGTGCTGGAGTCTGAGTTCAAATCCCTCCAGCGCACACTGGTCTGTGATCCTGGGTAAGATACTCATCTTGTCTGACACCATTTTCCCATTAGCAGGATTGGGCTCATTGTAGCCCAGCAGATACTTACAAAGCGTGAATCAGCTAATCTACAGGACAGGATTTCACCCCATGTCTCTGCATATTGAGCACTGAATAAAAGTTCATTTGATGGCCCTCTCCTCCACCCTCTTCAGCCTCACCTAGTGTCATTTCAAGAATGTATCTTGTGCCCACTTTGGCAACACATATACTGAAAGTGCAAAACAAAAGTGATAGTTGTTTTGTTTTTTTGGTCCGGCCTGTGGCTTGAACTCAGGTCCCAGATGCTGTTTCCGAGTCTCTTTTTTGCTCAAGCACTCTTACCACTTGAGCCACAGTGGTACTTCTGGCCTTTTTTTGAGTAGTTTATTGCAGATTGTAGTCTCAAGGACTTTCCTACTTTCTTGCCAGGGCTGGCTTCAAACCTCCTCAAATCTAGGCCTCCTGATTAGCTAGGATTACAAGCATGAGCCACTGGCACCTGGCTACAGTTCTAATGATTTGACGCTGCTCAAGGAAGCAGAAATGCAAAGATAGCACTAGTCTAGCCACACCGCGATGATCAGAAGCCCAGGAAAGCAAGTTATTCTCACCATTAGAGTGAACAGAAAGAGGAGCAGACACCGCGGGATAGCCTTGAGCATGAAGAAAGCACACAGGCCACTTCCCGTGTGTGTGTGTGGACACTCTGCTTCCTCCCCAGCGTGGCGGGATGGGGTCCATTCCCCCTGAGCCTGAAGTCCTTCCAGCACAAATCAGGTGTCTCCCATCACTCAGACTCGACTCAGCTCTTAGCAGATGGGTCCCAGAGAAAACCTTTCCATTACAGCACCAGAAGCACCTGAGGGGTCTCCGCCGCTCCGCACTCCTGGGCCCCAGACCTGGTAATTCTGCATTTGGACTAGGGTTGAGATCTAAGGCAACGATTGTTTATTTAAAATAATAATAATAGCGAACAGCTCTGCAGGATTAGAAATCTGGGGGGGGGAGGGGGAACATCCCTTAGGAGCACGTGGTCTGCCCACACCACAGCGGGAGCCCTGGCTTCCAACCAGGATCCCCAGATCTCAGACTTCTGGGTAGGATTACAGGCCTGAGCCACCGCGCCTGGCTCAATGAAGTTTTTCCCTCCCTCCCCTTCTTCCTTCTCTCTTTCCCTCCCCCCCCCACCTCCTGCCCCCTGCCCTGTCCCGCGGGGGG